CATTTGCCACGTGCAGCACCTGAATGGAGGAGGAAATTTTGGGTTTCCAAACAGATGGTGTTGAGGGACTCAGCAAAGCTGTTCACATTGGCAAGGAGTGGGAAACTGGGGAGGGTTTGTTTTTTTTTTTCCAACCCCCAGAGACCCATAAATTGCTGGTGGAGGACGAGTGGGGATCGACCCTTTGGTACTTCCTTTGTCCTTCCCCCCAGGTACACACAAGGAAGGGCTTTGGAAAACGTGGGAGTTTTCCAGCTTAGCCTGGGAATTCGTCTTCCCCTGTCCTTTCTCTGCCATCCTCATCCTCTGCAATCCTCTGCTGACAGGTCTGCGCTGAGGATCTCGGCGCTGATAAGAGCCCAGGTGGGACCATCCCACCTCGGGTCACCTCCCAAACACCAGAGGCCGTAACTTTTTCTAGACAGAGGAGGAAGGAAACTGCTTTTCTTTTTTTTTTTTTTCTTTTCATTCTCTCAGTGTCCCCCTTAAAATGATTCCCAGAGGGAGGGGGTGAAGGGAAGCCCCGAGAGCAGGGGCGGCGTGTTGGGAACGTCGGACTCACCGCGCATCTGCTGCCCGCGGAGTCGGGGCTCTGGTTGTCGGCATGTTCCTTCTGGATGCATCCTGCATGCTGCACCCAGGGCATGTGGACACGGCTGGCAGCTCCCTGCCACCCTCACACCTGGGGTTTTAGGGATAGGGAGGTGTGAGAGCTGACCTAGGAGAGGGCAGGTCCGGCATGGCCCCCCTCCGGAGGGGCAGCCTTGGGGTCGCTTCTCAAGGCTGCCCTGAAAACCGTGGAGGGGAACAGTGATTACACTCGTCCACACCTGGTGTGAGTGGGATTCCTTAGAGCATCACAGCCTTGCACACACCCCCAGTAGGTTCTGGGCAGACCACGTGTGTGGATTTTCCCATGCCTGACTTGCTGTGTCTCCCCCAGACTCCGTTCCAGTCGTCGGGGTTGGACACGAGCAGGACGACCCGGCACCACGGGCTGGTGGACAGAGTGTACCGGGACAGGAACCGCCTGGGCTCACCCCACCGCCGGCCCCTCTCCGTGGATAAACATGGAAGACAGATATCCTTTGGTGTAGGACCCCCGGTGCTGTCACTGCTTCCAGTTCCCTCAGTTCCTTCCTTCCTGCCCTCCTCACCTGTTCCCATCCCTGCTCGTGCCACCCCTGCTCCTGAGCTGAGGGCTGGGCTGGAAGGACCTGCAGTGGGTGTTGGCCTTCCCCTGTTTCCTCAGCCAGGAGTGGGGATAATCCTGCACACGGAGCTGAGGGGGGATCAGGGTCCTTTGCTGGTTCGGTGACACCAGCAAGGGCTCCCCTGGGGGCAAATCCTGCCCGCTGAATTCTGCGGCCTCCCACCATGGGGTCACTGACATCATCCCCCTGGGCCTGTGCCAAGCTTTTGGCAGCGTCCCACACCATATCCTTGTCTCTGGACTGGAGAGCCATGGATGTGATGGATGTGGTGGATGTGGTGGATGTGATGGATGTGATGGATGTGGTGGATGGGGTGGATGTGATGGATGTGATGGATGTGGTGGATGGGGTGGATGGCTCCACTCCATGGGCAAGGAATGGGCTGGATGGCCACGCTCCAAGAGCTGCACTCAGTGTGTCCACGTGGGGACCAGCAGTGAGTGGCACCCTCAGGGGTCGCTTTTGGGGCGTCTTGATGTCACTGTTGGTGACATGGGCAGTGGGATCGAGGCCACCCTCAGCAAGTTCACCAGCTTTGTGGCCCCCAGCATGAGAAGGACACGGATCCTCTGCTTCCAACCCAAACCATTCCGTGATTCTCTGAAAAGCCAGGGCCGTCTGGGGGAAACCGAATTTCCCTTTGGATCCGAGTAAATCCAGCCCGGGCTAATTCCTTGCAGTCGGTTGTGCATTTGATTGCAGGTTGATTCATCCAGTTGGCACTTGCCCAGCGATGTTTCTTCTTGCCATTTGCGAGCCTCGATTAACCGGTTATTTCTGATGTGCCACCGTCAGGTTGGTGTGATGGGGCTGGAGGGGCTGCGGGAATGGGGGAGCGGGGGGGCTGGTGGCTGCCCAGGGAGCAGTTGGATCTGCAGGAAAGCAGGATGAGTGGCTCTTGCTGCTCAAACGTCACAACAATCCACATAATCCTCTGGTTGAGAGCGTCCCTTTTAAGTCCCCCCAGGGTGTTGCTTGCTTTTCTCCTGCGAGCTCGGTGCCTTCTGATGGGTCAATTGGAATTATTCTCGGGAAAAGACATTCCAGTGGGCCCTCTGCTTCAGTGAGAGAGTGCTGTTGTTCCCCTTAACTCTGTGCTCACGTGGACAGCTGTCCCTACGGAACGGTGTACCTGTCCCCTCCGTCAGACACCAGCTGGAGAAGGTTGGTAGCACCTCGATCGGGCAATCAAATTATCCTGTGTTCCTTCTCAACCCCATCATTGAAACAATGGCTCTTCAAACTTAAACTAACTTGTCCTGCAAATCAGTTGTTTCACAAGGAAATTGCCCCTGGTATGTGGCATCAATAGATTTTTTGGTTTTTTAATGCCGAGTGTTCAGGTTTTGCTGAGTTGGTTGTGCTGATCTGAGGGGTTGCAATTCTTTCATTTAGAGAAGCTGGCAATAAAAATAACGTGGGGTTTTTTGCCTTTTGTTTGTTTGTTTGTTTGTTTGTTTAGGACAAATTCCGATTCTGCCTTGCACCAGAGCACCATGACTCCAGCTCAGCAGGAATCCTTCTCTGGAGGGTCCCAGGACATGCAGCAGAAAAGAGGTAAACAGGGAAAAATGCCTACAGGTATTCCTGATGTGATCTGCAGGGGGGTTGTGAGACCCAGGTCTGCTGGTGCTCCCTGGATCCGTGACAGGAGTTGGAGTGAAGAGTCACATTCACCTTTGTGGGTGCTGAAATCCGTGAAAAAATGGTCCAGAACTGAGCAAGGACATCTCCCTGAGCCCCAAGTTGTGTTGTTCTGACACTTCTCCCCGGGGAGGAGGATCTGGGCTGGTGGGACTGTGGTGGTGAGTGCTCCGAGTGCCGCTGAAGGTTGGGAGCAACTTCTGGAGCAGCACAGAGATCACAGCAGCTCAGCCAGGGGTACAAACACCGGGAAGGAGCAAGAGCTTCGTCTTAGTTCTTAATTTACGGCCTTGAGATTCCCCGGGGATCGTCCCCCCAGAGGCAGCACTTCCAGACAACGCTGATAACATTTCCAGCTCCAGGCTGGAGCAGCCTCTGGAACCGCAGTTCTGGTGCCCTCTGCTGGGCCTTGAGCCTGCTCCAACTCAGGAAACACGGCAGGACTTGAGCATCCTGGAGGTCTTCTCCAGCCTTAACCATTCCCTGGTTCTGTGGAAAGCTCTATAAATCTCTGTGTATGGAAGTTTAATCCTTCACCAGGCACCCAGAGATGGGGTGACACAAACTCGCTGTCCTGCGGCTCCTCCATGTGCCCCAGGAGCTGGAAAACGTGGGGAAATGGTCATGTTTAGCAGCATTCCCTAAATATGGGTTTATAGTCATCCTTGTGAAAGGTTTCTCTGGATTCATCTCTCCCTCTGGGCTTCTCCTGGTGGTTCTCTGTCCCCTTGTTTGTTTGAACCGAGAAACGTCCTTGGAACGTGGAGAAGTGGCAGCTTCATGGGGTTTCCTCTCTCCCAGGGGAGATGGATTGGATTTTCCCCCGCTGGAATTGCCCTGTGGGCTTCCCATTTAGGTGGACCAGGTGGAAATCACTCGTGCAGGATGCAAAAGATAGGAAAAACTATGTCCCAAATGCTCCCTTCCACTTAGGTCTAAATGGAATCCAGTTAGATCTCTGGCCTTAGCAGACTGAGCTGGAGGTGAGAAATCTTTTAAAGCATCATTTGAGGTTGGTTTTTTTTTAAGCTGATAGTGTCTCACTGATTAATTAGGTAATTAAATACAGTTTTAGTCTCTTCTGCTTTCTGGTACCTTTGTTTTTTGTTAACGAGTGTGACCGTTTCAAACTCGCTGATAATTGTGAACTTCATGTTTTTCAGATTTCCAGTCTGAAAGTGTCTCCCCGAGAAGGTTCATGTTACTGGTGATTAATTATATGATTGGTTTTTTGTTGTCTTGTTTTAGTTTTGTTGCTGACTGTCCCTGGAATGGAGGAAGGCACCTCAGATGCAGACAAAACCCTCTCCAAGCAAGGCTGGGACACTAAAAAGGTGGGAATTGCACCCTTCAAAGTGTAGAAATACTAATTTTCTAAACATACTAAGGTCAATGAATGCTTTAAACATTGTCACAGTTAAAAACCACTTGAAGAGATTCGAGATTAAATGTTGTGTTTAGAAACAAATCATAAAAAATAGACCAGAAAGGCATTTTTAGGTATTCATGTGTGTAGGCACGGGATTGATTTTATCAGGAGAAAATCTTGGAATTTAAGATTCGTTTGGACAATAAAGCGAAAAAAGGGTGATAAATATCTCCTAAGAGCTTCACAAAGCTCTTGTGTAGAGTAGCTGTGCTATAGAAATGTACATAATTAAACTTTTGAGCTGAAATACATCCTGAACACTCATTTCCAGCAGCATCTTTGCCTTTAAAACTCTCTCCCTTCTCTTTCAGACCGGGTCATCCAGACCTAAATCATGTG